TTAGTCAAGGATTTGTATTGTTTTGGTTCACAAATTTTCAAGTCAAAATCCAATAAAATGTGACAGTAATTTTCCTAATCATTAATAAATGTTGATATTACATGTAGATGTTTTTATAGTGTAAACATATAACTACAATTCCAAGAGGTAATTTCTTCTCTATTTTGAAGGGCCAGTAAAATTCTGGAAGTTTCTTACTTTATTTTCACAATAAAAGATAATTTTAATAATTTAATTTTGGATGTAACACGTCTTCTGATTGGCTGACGTTGTTTTGTTTATGAGCTCATAGACATAATTTTGTCATGTGACCGTGACGTCATCAACGTTTTTTCATGGTTTACTCCAGTTTAAAATGGAATTTAGACTTAAATTATAAGAAATGACAGTAATATTTTTTCTGTCTATTCGAAATAACATAAAAAATGTGGTGCACACTTTAAAATAACCCGCTACGCTTTCTTCATAGACAGAAAAATTATTACAGTCATTCCTTAAATAAGCTAAACACACTTAAGCTCAAATCTGGTATATTTGCTGTTTTCCCTATTTCATTGAAAAGCGCGTGAAAAAATTCCCAAAACTGGCCAGGGTCCTTTTTCCCAAAATACACAGAAAAAACTGGATACCCTAAGGAACATTTAGTTAAAGTTTGAAGGTATTTGGCCCAGTAGTTTCAGAGGAGAAGATTTTTGAAATAGTTTACGACGACAGACGACGACGACGGACGCCAAGTGATGGCATAAGCTCACATGAGGTCCTTCCGGCCCCGGTGAGCTAAAAAGGAGAAAATTGATTAATTGTGTGATTTTTCAAGGTCTAGGGATCATAAATCTGCAAAATATCATCAAACCAGAACAAAATTTAAACTTGATCTGAAACTTGTCAGACATCGGTAACCTATAAAACCAAATATCAATATAATATCTTTAAGTGTGATGAAAAATCTGTAACTTGTCATGGTTAACCTATAAACCAAAAAGTCCAAGGACCATAACGGCAAAGAATCAGCCGATGGGAACAAAATTTAAACTTGATCTGTAACTTGTCATGGTTAAACTAAATGCCAAATATGAAGTCAATATCTTCAAGCATGATGAAACAAGAATGTGTCCATAGTACACCGATGCCCACTTGCACTATCATATTGTTCAGTGGACTGAAATGGGGTTCAAAACTCTAATTTGGCATTAAAATTAGAAATATCATATCATAGGGAACATGTATACTAAGTTTCAAGTTGATTGGACCTCAACTTCATCAAAAACTACCTTGACCAAAAAATTTAACCTGACACGGGACAGACAGACGAACGAAAATATTATTGTTATCACACATTATCTTAACAAGACTCTAAACTTTAAAAGCTACAAATATAGGATAAGCTAAAAAGACTTTATTAGTATATGGAAAGTACATTAGAAATTGTCATTCAAAGAAACAAAATGTTTTCAAAAATCCGCAAAAAAGGGTTTTCTTCTAATGTGAATCAACTATAAACACGTTTGAATAAAATTGAATCGGAAAACATGTTACCAAAGTCATGATCAAACCCGGCTATTTTTGGCTCAGTGGTGTACATTTCAGCATTTGTTTTTTTTAAACTGTCTGACGACATAGTAAAGGCATGGTTGGGAGAATTTACTTTCTATTGAAATTATAATAGCGTTTTTTGGACATTAGAGAAACAGATTCTTACATTGTTAGCAGTAGATTATCGTGTTTCTCCAATCTTGATAGTTAAATTATTGAATTTTAAATCCTTGCAGAGGCTCGGACTTAAAATTCCATATTTAACTATCTCTATTGGGGAAACACGATAATCCACTGCTAACAATGAAAGAATCTATATTTCCTTAATACTTTATATACATCTTTCTTTAAAAACATAGACATAATTTATAAATACAATGAAGAATTGATATTAATAGTTGTAATACAAAGATCCACTTGTTTTTATAAGGGCTCACTGCATGCCATAGGGGCCCTGCTCTAATTATGCTTAAGTGCATCCCTATATAATAAAACCTAATTGTATCAGGTAAATTTTTCCTGCTACTGGTCTTGGCTTAGCATATTAAAGGGTACAATGTAGTAAAAATATCACTTCTTTAAGTCATCTCTGTGATCATTAAAAAATCTTTGAAATTCATAATTAATATACATTGTAATATAAGAAAAATATGTTATTAATTAATATTGTTTTGGGTTATAAATTGTAAAAAACTTGAAAATGATAAAGTTCTAATCAGTGAATCATAATTTCAGGAAATTGATATTTAATACTACAATTATCAGATAAATCTTTGACCTACAATGTACAAGCCTGTAGTATATCAGCTTGATTAATTGTTATTATTCATGGTAAAAATGTCCAGATGTTTGACAAAATCTGTTTACATGCTAGTAAAATCTGTTGGAATTTGGAAACCTCTGTATTAGATACACCACAAGGGTGACAACCTGAGAAGGTGTATCTAATTTACACCCAAAGATATATATTGCTTTATGTTAAATTATCTATAATTTAGGAGGGGGTCTTTCATGAATTCTACCTTATTTATTAGATACACCTTTTACAACCCCAGATATTCATGATATTATAATACATGTATATATATATGTAAAATGAAAAATATAACTATGGCTGGGATTTTTTTGTAGATTAATTAGGCCGTAAGTTTTCTTGTTTGAATTGTTTTACATTTGTCCTTTTATAGCTGACTATGCGGTATGGGCTTTGCTCATTGTTGAAGGCTGTACGGTGACCTATAGTTGTTAATTTCTGTGTCATTTGGTCTCTTGTGAATAGTTGTCTCATTCGTAATCACACCACATCTTCTTTTTTTTATACATATTGAATATGGTAGCTAGAAAACAACCAACCATAGAAATGCAAACTTTCAATTACATTTTGTACCTCCAAAACAGGAGGGATCAATATATTAATACACTGAGGTTTAGGGTTTAAAATTGGGTTTAATACTGCACATCAGTAAAATCTGCATTATATCTTTGAATATATATTCTTTTAAAATATTTCATTTGATACAAAATAACTTAGAATAGTAATTTTAATAATCACTAGAGCTTCAACTTTTAAAAAAATGTGCTTCACTGAGCGCAGCTGGATACAACCATAGAGGTCCAATCCTGAACAGTTAGGATAAAAATGGACACAATATTCAAGCTTGATGCAGGTCCGAATTTGGATTTTAATTAAATATTTGACACATTATAGGTTTCTGTCACAGAATAAATGTATTGGAAGAACTTGAAATTGGTTAAATGATTTGAATTTATTTTCAATTGAAGATTTCATGCTGTTGTGCAATACAATGTGCTGTTGTGCAATACTTAGTAAATCTGTTTTTAGACTATACACAAAGAAATAGCAAAATAACAAGTGTACTATCTGAATATAGTCATGATAGTCAGAACTGCAAATTCTAGCTCTTTTGACCTAGATTAATTTAATTCTGAAATTTAACAGCAATACACCAATCTACATAACAACCTGTGATTCAGTAAGATCAATATATTACCAAGGTAGCTGTATAGTTTGATGAAAATCCAAGTTGATTTGAAAAAGTTATTAAAAAATTTAAAGTGTACTATCTAAATTTTGTCCGAACTGCAAATTCTAGCTTTTTTTACCAAGATTAATTTAATTCTGAAATTTGACAGCAATACACCAAACTACATCATGACCTGTGATTCAGTAAGATCAATATATTACTAAGGTAGCTGTATAGTTTGATGAATATCCAAGTTGATTTGAAAAAGTTATTAAAAAATTTAAAGTGTACTATCTAAATTTTGTCCGAACTGCAAATTCTAGCTTTTTTTACCAAGATTAATTTAATTCTGAAATTTGACAGCAATACACCAAAATACATAACTACCTGTGATTCAGTAAGATCAATATATTACCAAGTTAGCTGTATAGTTTGATGAAAATCCAAGTTGATTTGAAAAAGTTATAAACAGAATTAAAGTGTACTATCTGAATATAGTCTGAACTGCAAATTATAGCTTTTTTGACCTAGATTAATTTAATCCTTAAATTTGACAGCAATACACCACACTACATAATGACCTGGGATTCAGTAAGATCAATATATTACTAAGATAGCTGTATAGTTTGATGAAAATCATAGTTGATTTGAAAAAGTTATAAAAAAAATTAAAGTGTACTATCTGAATTTTGTCTGAACTGCAAATCCTAGCTTTTTTTACCTAGATTAATTTAATCCTTAAATTTGACAGCAATACATCAAACTACATAACGACCTGTGATTCAGTAAGATCAATATATTACCAAGGTAGCTGTATAGTTTGATGAAAATCCAAGTTGATTTGAAAAAGTTATAAAAATAATTAAAGATGCATATCTGAATTTAATCATTTTTTTTGTACCTATTAATTAAATTATTTAATTTCACAGCAATGAACCAAACTACCAAATAAACTGGAATTTTGAAAGATCTATATTTAATTTAGTTAGATGGGCTGATTTACACCAGTCAAGACTAAACTTGAAGGTCCAGATTAGTCGAGACAGGTCAAGACTGGTCGAGCCTTGGTCGAGACCATTTCAGACGACACCAAGTTCAGCAAGTACTGAATCAGACTAATTAAGTAAAGTCGAGACCTAGTTGAGTACAGTTAAGTACTGTCGAGACAATGTCGACACTAGTCGAGTAAAATATGTGCTCGACTTTACTGGTCGAGCACAAAATCTGGTCTTTTCAGACTCTTGAGCAGTTTGTAGTGATACTTTAAGCAGCCCAACATGTATTGCGTATTGAACAGTGAAAATTACTTTACATAATGATTTCGCCTTCAGGCTAACTTGATTGGTAGATTTTCATCCAAATTTCAGAAAAAATCGGTCGGGTGGGAGGATTTTATTTTTTAATTTGTATTCCCTATATTACACTGACATGGTTTTGAGAACAGTAACATGATTTGTATCTACCAAAGATGCTGTTTCTTACTTGGTATCTGCATAATAATAAATTGTGCCTTTCCAGTAAATATTTTTACTACATAGCAAAACATAGAGACTTCTAAATTATCCCTTGTAAATTTTGAACAGGATGTAATGAAGCCAAATAAACATGAAAAATGTCACAATATAAACCGGTAACAGAAATGAACAAAATCCGCAAATCTGCAAATCCTAAAATTTATAAAATAAAATAAATGAAGGCGGGACATTTCATACAGAGTATATATCTCCCAATTGATACGATATTCCTGGGCTTGTGTTTCCTATCATGATTTCCTTGATAGAGGATTGCTGCTCACAAGGAAGCTATTAAACCAAGAGTTCCAAATGGTGAAGTTGAAATCATCCCTTCGTAAATTGTACGGACGCCATCACATGTTGGTTGACCTTTATGGAATAACCGTTCCACAGATGATATCGGATATGTTCCTTATGTTGTAACTACAATACCCTTCCCTTTTCACGAATGTGACTTACCGAATTAGACTATTTACCGGATTTGTAATAACATAAGCAACACGACATGTGGAGCAGGATCTGCTTACCCTTCCGGAGCACCTGAGATCACCCCCAGTTTTTGGTGGGGATCGTGTTGCTTAGTCTTTAGTTTTTTATGTTGTGTCATCTGTACTATTATTTGTCTGTTTGTCTTTTTATTTTTGGCCATGGCGTTGTCAGTTTGTTTTCGATCTATGAGTTTGACTGTCCCTCTGGTATCTTTTGCCCCTCTTTCAGATGGGTGGGTGGTATGAAAATCTATCAATTAATTTGAATTGGCCTTAGCTGTATACAGAGGCAGATTTAGAGGGAGCACCCCGCCCCCTTTTTTGTGGGAAAACTTTTGTTGCTTATATAGGGTAGTACTGGAGCAGGCTTGCATTTTTTTAATTGTAATCTCGGTCCTGCCTTTTTATTTTTCACTTTATTTGGTCCTGCCTTTATTTTAAAAGTTTATCCAGGTTTTTTGCCCAGTTGCTCATCCTGCCATTTTTTGAAATTCCTGTCCTGCCATTTTTTTTACTCAAAAGTCCTGTCCTGCCTTTTTTTTGAAAAATTTCATCCTAGCTCCCCCCCCCCCCCCCATAAAAATCAAATGGTAGTTCCCTAAGTCATCATGATCAGAAACCAGATATAATCAAAGCGCGAAAGCGCTGTAAAGGCAGTTAATTACAGGTTGTGTGTATTTTTAGTCCAGTTATATCATTATCTTGCATAGTACAGTGTACTTATCAGAGGTGGCTTTCAGTATTTAAGATTTAGAGTTCTCTAATGATATTGAACAAGTTTTATGAATGTCATATTCTGAGCACTATATGAAGGCGTTTGTTCTCACTTGTTTATGAACTTGTGCATTATATCCAGTTTGTACCTTTTTTATCTATGTTTATAGTCAAATTAGTTATCAAAGGTACCAGGATTATAATTTAATACGCCAGACTCGCGTTTCATCTACATAAGACTCATCAGTGACGCTCAGATCAAAATAGTTATAAAGCCAAACAAGTACAAAGTTGAAGAGCATTGAGGACCCAAAATTCCAAAAAATTGTGCCAAATACGGCTAAGGTAATCTATTCCTTGGATAAGAAAATCCTTAGTTTTTCGAAAAATTCAAAGTTTTGTAACAGAAAGTTTATAAAAATGACCATATAATTGATATTCAAATACTGTTTAAAATAGTTAGGCATTTTCTTTTTAGAAATAAGTAAATGTTATCAACTGTATTTTATTCAACTCTGCAAATGTGGTGGATGATAGTTGTTTCATTGGCAATCATAACACATCTCTTTATTTATATAATGATCTATATTCAACGACCTCAGGTACAAAAAAAATGTATGTAACTAAACTGTGATGGGAAACCTTTGACTTCTTTCTTTTATATAAACTTTTGATTTGGTACCATAGAACTATGTAGAATAAATGTACATTGCATCATGTCAACTCTTTCAATGACAATACTTTTTTAGAAACTATAACTCCAAGCAAAATTATATTTCCAAGTTTAAAGTAATTTATGAATGAAAAAAGGAGTTCTTAATTAAGAAATAAACTGATTCGCTGAGCTCAGCTGGATACACCGCAGAGGTCCAACCCTGAACAGTTGGGGCAAAAATGGACACAATATTCAAGCTTGATACAGGTCTGTATTTGGATTGTAATTAAATATTTTACATATTATAGTTTTGGAATAAATGTAGTCAAAGAACTTGAAATCGGTTATATGAATTGAATTTATATTCAATTAAAGATTTCTTGCTGTTGTGCAATACTTAATAAATCTGTTGCCAGACTATAAACAAATAAAGTTCAATTTCTTCTCAATGTCATATTTGAAATTTATGAAAATCTATAGGGAGATTACATCAATAGCTATAAATAATTCACCCAAGTTTCATGCGAACTGCTTAAAGCATTTTTGAGTTGTTGTCCAACAACAGTGCACACGCTGAAATGTCTCGCCTTCTTTACTAATCACTGATATTATGTTGATAGTCCTTAATATAAAGCTTTATTACAACTGTCACATAAACTTAACATTAACCAAGAAAACTAAACATTGACCAATGAACCATGAAAATGAGGTCAAGGTCAGATGAACCATGCCAGGCAGGCATGTACAGCTAACAATTCTTCCATACAACAAATATAGTTGACCTATTGCCTTTAGTTTAAGAAAAACAGACCAAAACACAACTAGATACGCCCGCAGAGGTCCAACCCTGAACAGTTGGGGCAAAAATGGACACAATATTCAAGCTTGATTCAGGTCTGAATTTGGATTGTAATTAAATATTTGACATATTATAGGTTTCTGAATAAATGTAGTCAAAGATCTTGAAATTGGTTATATGAATTGAATATGCAATTAAAGATTTCTTGCTGTTGTGCAATACTTAGTAAACCTGTTGTCAGACTATAAACAAATAAAGTTCAATTAATTCTCAATGTCATATTAGAAATTTATGAAAATAAAAAGGGAGCTTACAACAATAGATATAAACAATTCACCAAAGTTTCATGAGAATTGGTGACAGCATATTTGAGTTATTGTTCGAAAACTGGAAAATCACCCATTTTTTTAATGAATAAAACCCCATAACTCAGAAATGTAAAATGTAAAATTTATAAAATTCTAAAGGGAGCTTACATCAATACATACAAACAATTCACCAAAGTTTCATAAGAATTGCTGTAAGCATTTTAGAGTTTTTGTCCGAAAACTGGAAAATCCCCCCTTTTTTTATGAATAAAACCCCGTAACTCGGAAACGTAAAATCTAAAATTTATAAAAATCGAAAGGGAGCTCATGTCAATAGATATAAACAATTCACCACAATTTCTTGCAAGTTGGTGAAAGCATTCTTGACTTATTGTCCGAAAACTGGAAAATCCCCCTTTTTTTAATGAATAAAACCCCATAACTCGGAAACGTAAAATCTAAATTTTATAAAAAATAAAAGGGAGCTCACGTCAATAGATATAAACAATTCACCAAAGTTTTATGCAAATTGGTAAAAGCATTTTTGAGTTAATGTTCGACATATTGACGACGGACAACGGTATACCATAATACGTCCTGTAAACGGGCGTATAAAAACTTAACAGAGCAATGAACTGTGAAAATGAGGTCAAGGTCAAATAAAACCTGCGCGACTGACATAAAGATCATAAAATATTTCCATACACCAAATATAGTTGACCTATTGCATATAGTATTAGAAAAAAAGACCAAAACTCAAAATCTTAACTTTGACCACTGAACCATGAAAATGAGGTCACGGTCAAATGACACCTGCCAGCTAGACATGTACATCTTACAATCATTCCATACACCAAATATAGTAGACCTATTGCATACAGTATAAGAAAAACAGACCAAAACACAAAAACTTAACTATAACTACTGAACCATGAAAATGAGGTCAAGGTCAGATGACACCTGCCAGTTGGACATGTACACTTTACAGTCCTTCCATACACCGAATATACTTGACCTATTGCTTATAGTATCTGAGATATGGACTTGACCACCAAAACTTAACCTTGTTCACTGATCCATGAAATGAGGTCGAGGTCAAGTGAAAACTGTCTGACGGGCATGAGGACCTTGCAAGGTCGCACATACCAAACATAGTTATCCTACTACTTATAATAAGAGAGTATTTAACATTACAAAAAATGATAACTTTTTTTTCAAGTAGTCACTGAACTATGAAAATGAGGTCAAGGACATTGGACATGTGGCTGACGGAAACTTCGTAACATGAGGCATCCATATACAAAGTATGAAGCATCCAGGTCTTCCACCAACTAAAATATAAAGCTTTTAAGAAGCTATCCCTATGTCGAGCTTTCTGCGACAAAAGTCGCAGGCTCGACAAAAACTTGAAAATCCCAATAAAACACCATAACTCAGAAATGTAAAATCTAAAATTTATAAAATTCTAAAGGGAGCTTACGGATTGATAATTTAGTCTTAGATGCAAGATTTTTATATCAGTTGTTAGTGGCTTTGAACTAGCTGTCAGTAACTGCAAGTACTCTCAGATCTGTACTTTCTGTCTTTTTCTTGTTTGGATGTACAACTACCCGACCACATCCACTTGTATTTGTATTTATCCATCTGATGAGTTAAGCCTCTTTCAAGTGATTTTTATAGTTTGTTCTTATATTGTACTGTTACACCACTGTCCCAGGTTAGGGGGAAGGTTGGGATCCCGCTAACATGTTTAACCCCGACACATTCTGTATGTACATGTATGTGCCTGTCCCAAGTCAGGAGCCTGTAATTCAGTGGTTGTCGTTTGTTTATGTGTTGCATATTTGTTATATTCGTTCATTTTTTGTACATAAATTAGGCCGTTAGTTTTCTTGTTTGAATTGTTTTACATTGTCATTTCGGGCCTTTTATAGCTGACTATGCGGTATGGGCTTTGCTCATTGTTGAAGGCCATACTGTGACCTATAGCTGTTAATTTCTGTGTCATTTGGTCTCTTGTGAGAGTTATCTCATTGGCAATCATACCACATCTTCTTTTTTATATTTACATCAACAGATATAAACAATTCACCAAAGTCAAGGTGAGACAACAAAACTTAGTGGTAAGATCTCTGAAATTTTTTACACGGTACAAGTTTTTCTCATTGTTGGAGATTGTACGGTAACAGTAACACCTGTAACTGCTTAAACCCATTTCTTATGCACTTTAGTTCGATAAACTCACTGAATATCATACCACATCTCCTTATTTTTATATGCATTACAATTTAAATGTGCATGTAATTATAAATATATATATATCAGAACAAAATTCATTGCGTCACTTTTATTTCTGCATCCTTTGGCACAATACAAGTTTTAAAATTACACAACATAAAACAACTAAATGTTATTTCAGATGAAAGTTTTGTTTCAGTTCCATTCATAGGATTTGTTAGAATTTTGTATGTTTTGCCAAGTCCAATAATTCGCTCTATGTGCACATGTTAATTGGAGACTTCTCTATCCCGTATAAGAGTTTTGGAACTAATTCTGTTTCTTTTTTTGAAAAAAGTTAGCAAACAAATCTTGCACATTTAAACCTTTGTCTGCCATCACACTGTCACCTGGATCACATAACTGAACTACATTTTGTATTCTACATCTTTCAACTATTTCATAGTCACTGGTAGAACCAACATATGCAGTAGAGACATAGTTGACTAAACCACCAGGCGTCGAACATACAAGTATTTTCAGTGTTTCTGTTTTTATATGATGAAAAGGTTGCCTGAGCTCTAGGAGCTTTAGTTTTATCACGGGATATTCTGTGCTGTCAATAATAATCCAAGTCGTAGGAAACTTTAATTTGAAGTTGGATGGCGAAAAATGCCTGACTAAACCACTAGATGGCCAAGTGTTAGCCTCACACCACTGTTTAGGCATAAAAACAATCCATGTATATACACAATATTCTTAACACTAGATTCAATCTAGAATCTAGAAAGTTCAAAGTTGGTTGTATAATGCCTCAATTTCATCAAAGTCATAAAAAAACTGATTTTCAACTGACACCCTATCAATTTGAAAATATATGTATCTCAAACAATGTGCTGTTGGACCAAGTGTGGTCAAAACAAATAAAAATTTAGTATACAACTCTAAACTGGTATAAAAATGCATGGCTGTGTCACGTGTCTTCATTTCAAAATTCTCTGCTGAAAACATAGACATTGATGGTGTTTGCGTAATTCCATCTTTGAAGCTCAACATTAGCTCAGCAGTTAACGTTGGTGGTGGACAGTCATAAATCCTTTCTGCAGTATGAATGACTTCTTCAGGAAAACCAACTTTACAATCAAAACTTTCCTCTAGATTTCTACTACAATATTCATCAAGTTTAGTTCTTTTGTTTTCACACGAAACTGCCCTGATTTTTCTTTTTGCGGTTGATTCAGTCTCTTGCTTGGTCCAGGAAAATAGGCTGGGAATGGCAGTAGACTTAGGTCTCTGTATGGTGGGTTTGCGCCCTGAAAAAGGTTATAAAACATTAGTTTTTTGATAATTAAATGAACTTCCATTAGCAATGTATACTTTGTATTACCTGGCGAAATATTAACTAGATTTATTCATTACAATCTGGATAAAACTATGTTTGCCTGATTCAATGTACATGATGTATGTTATGTAAATCCAAAGGACAAACAATGAGAGACTTATGCAACAAACGTACATTGTTTGTACCTAAATAACTATAATATTGATGAGAGCATGTCATTGTTTTGTTCCTGTTAACATTGTCATTGATATTTTTCAAGAAAGTCTATGAGGCATAGCTTATGCATTCCTGTCATTACTACATTAGCATAATTAGTGCTAAAATAATTCTCAGTATGATATACCTCTTGTAAGAAATCATTATAACTGTAGCAATCACCAAAAAAATCTCAAACAGATCACATTGAATCGTAATCCAAAAAATTATGACGTCTTGAATTAACCACCCCCTTTTATTCTAAAACGATAATTGCGGTTGTAAACAGGCTTTGGTCTATTCGCATGGCGATTACATATATAACTATATATTTCAAAAAGAAAATAGAGTTTTACCATGAATAGTTTCCTGCACGTAGTCTTTTTCAGTAAAATGTGCCTTGCAAACAACAGCTGATTGAGATGGACTCCACGATGAAATCGTGTTCTCGTCCAATCTGCGTTTGGGCCATGGCGTTGATCCAACTTTTCCTTCTTTTTAAGTCATTTGGAAATGCATGTCCTTCTCTTAAATGACATCCAGGTACACAACAACAAGTACTTGGCATCGTTAATTTAAAATGTAACTGAAATAGTTGCACAGTGCAGAAACCGGAAGTTGAGGAACAGGATCGGCTACCACGGCGCCACCTATTCAGGAACGATAATTTGCTACTTTATATAACTGCGAAATAACAATAACGTTAGACGGGTTCACGTGCATAAACAGAAATGCGCTTTAAATTGTATAATATAATTACTGTTCAGTCGACTCTTAATTATTATATCAACGACTGAAATGATTTATAAACATCTAGATTGCAGATAACACTCGAAATTAACCCGAGCTCTTTCCACACGGAATTCAAATAATTCTAGTTTGTCAATCGGTTGACTGCTTATAATGCAAAATACAAATATATCAAAAGTTTTTTAAACTAACAAAACACAATGATCGTTTCTCTATTTCCCAATGTAAATGAAATGAAACAAAAAACATTTTATATCACAATAAAAAGAGGAGAGAATTCAACATTTCCGGATCTACTTGGAGCCTAATGACCCCCCACGTAGATAAGTTGGATATCGCGGAAGGAAGGATTAACCCGGCAACTAGAAAGGCATTAAAGCACTGCCTTTAAAAATCTAAAATATGTAAGGATGTGTCCGAGGACACAATGGCCCCGCTCAAGCTTTGCAATCTTCCAAGTTATAAAAGGGCATACATGTAACTCTCAAACGGTAAATGACTCTCTGCCCAAATTCAAACTTTGTCTGCATGTTTTGGTTCTAAGCATAGTTTTTTTTTTCAAAAAAATTTAGATAAGCCAAATGAGTTTGAGTGCAGAAACGAGAGAAAAATTGGACCTTCCAAGTGTTAAAGGGGCATAACTCTAAAACGGCAAATTACTCACTGTTAATATAAGAAATCTGTCAGTGTACTGTTTTGGTTCAAAGCATTGTGTATAAATTTCATAAAATTTGGATCCGCCAAAATAAAGTGCAGAAATGAAAAAAAATGCAATTTTCCAAGTTATAAAGGGGCATAACTCTAGAATGGTAAATTAGTCACTACCAATATCCTCCCTGTCTGCATGTTGTGATTTTTAGCATTGTGTATGAGTTTCATAACAAACTTAAGTAAGATTGCGGAAATGAAAAAAAGAGTAACACTTAATGGTCCATTCGCCTTGCAGCAGGGGCATAAACACGGAAAAGGGTGGTAAATGGTTATTTTGATGCAACGCATTAAGCTATTTTCATTTCACTACTTCTGTGTAAAAAACTGATTATGTACCATGTTTTGTGAAATTGTTAAAAAAAAAAAGCAACGTGCAAGTAAATGTAATTTTTAGTTCATCATGAAATGACAATAATATTTCAATTTCTTCCATGCACATGATGATGTCATCACACACACACCCTTTTGCGACCCTCATTGATGCAAACTACATTGTACATGCTACCATCAACCAAAAGCTAATATAAACATGGTTTTTCCTTAGGATAAAATTTGTGTGCTTGATAAAGAACAGTTAAATAAAACCAAATATGAACTACAGCAAACCAAGGACCACGTAGTTATAAGCTGACTTGGAATATTCACTTCAAATGAATACTGCATTACTGGGAGGTCAACTATTTGTTGGCACGGTGCCACCCAACCCTCTCCTATAATAACCTGGGACAGTAATATAATACAGCTTTATGAGCATGATGAGAGCAAAATTCATAAGTGTGGTGATAAAAAGCTTTCCAACAGAATGTTAATTTCTTAATCAAAACTGTGCTTAAACCCTAATTTACTTTAGTCATGTTAGTACAAAATGTAGCTTAATTTGAACAAAAGCATTATTTTTTTTGTAACTGATGCCCTACTCGCACTATCTTTTTTTATGTTCAGTGGACCGTGAAATTGGGGTCAAAAACTCTAATTTGGCATTAAAATTAGAAATATCATATCATAGGGAACATGTGTACTAAGTTTCAAGTTGATTGGACTTCAACTTCATCAAAAACTACCTTGACCAAAAACTTTAACCCAACACATGACAGACAGAAGGACGAACGGATGCACAGACCAGAAAACATAATGCCCCTCTACTATTGTATATTTTTGTACATGTAGCTGGGGAATAAAAATTTTGCACAGCATGTTTTTTTTTTTATAACTCAAACAGGTCATTTTTATATTTCAAAACATGAAAATTCAGCCACCTCTTGCAAAGGCTATTTTTTTAAGAACTAGCTACAGTACTTGCAGAACTAACAATAAGAAATAACTACGTGTATTGTTACTTCCAGGACTAATTGCCAAATTGTGTTTCTGGACAAGGAGCTGATTCAGGGGCAGATCCAGCCATTTTCAAAAGGGGGGGTTCCCAACCCAGGGTAAAGGGGGGTCCAAATATACATTCCGATACAAATGAATTGCTTGTCCAGAAAGGGGGTTGGGGGGACTAGGGGGGGGGCACCCCTGGATCCACCACTGGGGTCCAACCCAGGAGAAACCGCAGGGAGAGAGGGGGGTTTAAAATATGTCCCCATTCAAATAACTTGATCGTAAAACCAAGGCCGGTATCGGGTCTGTTCGCGCCCAATACACGTTCGCCCCCTAGGTCCGTTCGCACCCTTTTTTTATTCAAAAACCTGATAAATTTTTAGATGTTTTGTAAAATATTTTTATTTTCATAAATAAAAATTCGGGAATTTTTAAATGAAATATTGTTTTAAATTGATTTGATGATTAATTATTAAATGTTAATTATGTATGATTACTGCTAATTGGTATTTATACACAGCCTAATATGATGTTATTGTTGGGTGTTTAAAAATCATGATTGTTGTCATGGTTGTTTTAACTTGCTTTAAATGTAAATACTGCATGTATTTAGCTTGGTATGAGTATAACTTTGAAGATTTTAAATAAAAAACATGAAAGATAATTGTTTTTAACAGCTTGGCTCCTTTGATCTCATGTGTGTCATAATCTCACTTTATTCATAAACAATGAAAAAAAATATTTATAGCAATACACTATCCAAAACATGATTACGAATTATTCAACATATAAAAAAAAAACGTTGTCAGAATCCCATTTCCTTTTGAAACAATAAAAAAGAAATATTTATAGCAATACACTAACCAAAACATGATTAAGATTTTATCAACACCTAAAAAAACGTTGTCAGAATCTCACTTTATTTAGAAACAATGAAAAAAATAATTTATATATATATATATATATATATATTTGTTTAACATGCACACGTATAAAAATTGCGGTTTTTATCCAACGCAATCATAGGTTTGAACGTTGTTTTCAATTTAGACTTGTATATATATAGATATATATAGAGCAATACACTTACCTAAACATGATTAAAAATTATTCAACACAAAACTAAAATACTGGTCGTCAGAATCTCACTTAATTTAAAAACAATGAAAAAAAAATGTTAATAGCAATACATTTACCATTTACCATGACACAAAAAAAACCTTGTCAGAATCTCACTTTATTTAGAAACAATGAAAAAATATATATTTATAGCAATACACTTACCAAAACTCGTTTACAAATTATTAAACACAAAACCAATAAAAATTGGGCGCGAACGTGTAGGGTGCGAACTGACTTTGGGTGCGAACGTGTAGGGTGCGAAAGTGAAAGGGGGCGAACGTGCATGGGGGCGAACGTGATTGGGCGTGAACGGACCCGGATTCACCAAGGCCAGGGGTTCTGACAGCCCGTTCTTCCAATCTTTACACTGCACAGACATAAATCCATTGTGTCAATAATTATAGTCCTATAAGTCCCTAGTTATGTGTATTTCATATAATCAGTATTATTATAATTTTGTTTATTACTATACATAAAAATGCTTCTATCTGACAGTCTGAAGCAAAATATTTACATCCAACATGTACATGATTTTTGACCAATCCCACCAATCTATATAATCTTTTAATTAGTTATACTAAAACAAAGCTTTTCTCTTGTCAACTGGAAATTATTTTAATTCAGTTTAACAACAAAACCACATACAATTTTAATCAGGGTATAGCAATATCTCGGGTCGCAGAGTGCTACACGTGTCCAAATCAAAACAATAACAAGTATTTACATCGCTTCATTTTCAGTTTCATTTTACAAAGTTCGTTTTATGTGTTTAAATCAAATTGCGTACAAGGCATCAAGAGTTGTCTCCCTAATATTTATCTTTTAACAAGGTAAAAAAAAATTTATACTTATTCTAGTTATTTTTTCCAGACCCCACCTGCTTTCCAAGTAAAAGCGTCGACACTGCTCCTACGTGCGTCGACGTATAAATTACAGAAATAGACATATGAAATGTTAATAAAACCTGGAAAAATATAAACAACATCAATAAAATTGCATAAAATAAGAGAATTTCTGTCAAAAAATGGACGAAAACGCATTTTATTTAACAACAACAAAAACTCACATTTCTTCGATTTGCTCTTGTCTTGATGAATCCTAGTGATCTTAAAAACGCGGGAAATGACGAATGAATCACGCGAGACTAGGAACTGGTAAAAAAACCGCGGTAAATTCGAATGGGAATTAGAAAGAGCTTGATCTTTTAGTTAAATACAGATTTGATAAAAATAACGCGAATACGTCATAAAAATTGTTACTTGTTTAAGTAATGCCCCTGACTGGTCATTGTTTTAGGTCATACAGTGACTTGCATTAGTAAATCCTAGTCTTTGGTCTCTGGTTGATAGTTTATCATTGTCAATCACAATCTATTTAGTTTAATTTAACTGAACTAATCCACATTTTTGTTTAGGGGCCAGCTGAAGCCTGCCTGCGGGTGCAGAATTTCTCGCTGTGTTGAAGACCCATTGGTTGTCTTGGACTGTTTTTCTGCTCTTTGGTCGGGTTGTTGTCTCATATCCAGAAATCAACGCCACTTTGCTTATTTGAATATTATACTAAAGAAATCGGATACGGGTCACGGAAATTATATTGAAATGATAGGGAATTTAGAAAAAATGTCTGTTTTAACTTTGATTTAAGTGAAAGACAGGTTGCCGGGGCAGAAAATAAATATACACAACAATATACACCATTTAAACGAAATATAATGACCGGCGTTGCGAAAATCAAGGTTCCTGAGCTATTTTAAAAATCGAAGCGAGAGGCTTTTAACATTGCAGTATAAAATACAGGCTAAAATGGCTGAAACGTCAAATTTGCAAACTTCGTGTTGAAAATTGGCTATCAAGGTCATTAGAAATACAGGTTGCCGGGGTGAAACTTGAAACTTGAATGTCCAAAGAATAAGCAAGTCCAAACCTTGTATGTGTAGTCGTTGAACTCTAGGTTCCCACGTAAAGTTAAAATGCCTCTATTTCAAGAAGAATAAACTCACGAAAACACTAAAAATTCACTAAATTCGCGTTCATTGTTTTGATTTTGACCGCCTGACAACTTTACGGAAATATCAGAGTGATTATAAACAAGGACTCTGCGACGGGCAACTTATAATATCCGTGTTTTAAAGATTTTAATGATATCAAGCCAGTCCAGTTCAAACTATTATCACGTGGTACAATTCTCATTTACATATAATGAATATTAATTAGCAAAAGTACTACTAATTTCTGGCTATGTTGACACATTCCCCATGCATTTCCATTCTCAACTTTATTCCTTTTTTTTATTACGTTGCAGGTACTTAAAAAATGTGTTGTGCGAACAGACAGAAGTGGCATACGTTCTTACAGATTTCAGAATCTTATAAACAAAAATCTTTGTTTTTTGTAGCTTGACATCACAGAATCGTATCATAATTTTATTTCATAATCGAACAATTTTATTTTTATTATTATTTTAAGTGACCACTGCAGTTTATCACAGAGTTGAATTCAGGAATGAAGTATATAAAAAGCAGTTAACACTTTGTGGATCAATTATGGACGAGACATGGATACTGAATATTCTTCATCAGATGACGAATTGCACAGAGCCATACAGGATTGATAGCTGGAAAAAATCTCTTGAAACTCCATTAGGACTTACTACACACTCAGTGTTTATTCTAATTTCATCAAATATTCAGAAATGTCAATCATTAGAAAAATACGCTAACGCTCTTATCGTGTCAAAGGTAATAGAGTTATGTGCGGTAATGATTGCGGACACAGAGATACCCTTTGTCCTTCGATTGAAAGAAGAAAGGCCATATTACACTCATTTGAGAGACCATTTTATAGATGCTACGAGTATGAACCTGAAACAGATTGCAGATATCATATTTTTATCAGTTAAAAGTAAGTCAATGATAAATACTACAATTAATTTCCACTGTAAATACACATTTTTTATCAAATCGTTGTAAGCAACATCATTTCCATTCCTACACAAAACAAGTCTTTCGTTCAAGCGTATTGATGCTCAGTTAGGGGCCTTTAATTTGATCATTTCACAACAATACATAAAGTGTATTATCACATGTTTTGTACTTATATGTTTGTGTTTTATGTCAAAGAAAAGCCGGTAGTCGGATTCGGTTATTTGTCCTCGGGGTCAATAGCTAAAAGAAAATAGTAGTATACCGCTGTTTTTCAATATCAATATTTACCATCAAAAACCCATATTGACCCCCGAATTTTACTTCCGTAAACATGTCAATCAAAAACAATTAAAAAATTATGTGATAAATAGATCATTACATGTCATTTTTCATATCGGTCTAGGTACATGTATCAGCCCTCGACCAATATAAATACTCGGGCTACGCCCTCTGGCTTGATATGGGATTATCGGGATGATACCAGGGCCAATATGAAAAATGCCATGAAATAATCTATAATTACAGCCTTATCATCAGTAGTTCAGTAACTTTAAAGTGGCATGAAAATACGGATTTTTCTATATAACATTTGCAGTAACATAACGAAGGAAATGATCTGGAGTTCAAGAATGATTTACTTCCATGCATTGTTGTGATTTCTTATTTAAGTTTGTCTTCACTTCTGGTCTTTTCTGGTCATATTAGCTTTCAACTTTTGTTTTTGGTCTTCGATTTACAAATTTTTTTTCCTTGAGCATCAATAAAGAGATAACGTGTGGGAAGGCAAATCATGTGCAGTTAAATTGGAACCGTCTGGAGTATCAGTTTTATTAAATCCTCTTTTCTAAGAATGCCTTTAAACGCAACACCTGTTTTATTTTAAACAACGATCTGTCTGTTACATTAACTTATTTAGTAATGTCAAATATTGTGTTATGTCAAAGGGTTCACTTTGACATCGTGTGTATAAACAAAAGGAGATGTGGGATATCCCCAACGAAAGAAAGGAAATAGAGATAACTATATGTCAACAAACGGTATTCCAGTATAGCCAAAAGTCTAAACAATTGATCTAGGTTATAAAACGCCGTGCAAAAATATAACGGAGAAAGATATACAATATTTGCAACTCCCTCAGGCAAACCTTATCTCAGACCTTGTGTGCCGCTCCATTAAGACCCTTTCAAAGTTCGACATTTTTGGCTTTTCAAATGTATCTGAATAAGGTTATTCCAAAAACTTGCGTTGACCGCTCGGTAATCATATCATGCAAATATTTTTTTAAAACTGCTGTCTTTCAATATAGTACATTTAACTTTATTTCCGGAGTTTTGCCATAAGTTTTGTCAATATATGAATGCGATACAAAGCTTTAAAAAAATCCAGATGAATACAATCATGCTTTTTGATATCAATGGTATGATCTTTTTAGTTTCAAAATAAATGTATGTATTAAGTTTTCATTAATCAATATACATGGTTTTGAAATAACCTTTATAAGCATTAATATGAATGTTTCAATTCAAAAAGGGGCTATAGGTAACACAATAATACTTTCAAGACTTTAAATCTGAAACAAATACTGTATCTTATTCTAATATTAGGATATTAGGTTGATCTGTAATATGTTCATTTTTCAATTCATATTGATCAAATGCTTATTTTCTAGAAAAAAAATGTATAGAATATGGTTTTCACTTAGTATCATTGTGGTTCCATGATTTCATCGATTAAGGTGTAAAATGCAACATAACCGATAACGACGCCATGGAAGCATACTTTCATGAATTTGGTTGTATCATCAGTTATTTACAAAATTGACCACAGGTATTCGTTTCAGGTCCTTTCTGATTACACTGCTACTAGAGTACTTTACGTCATTGACAAATGTATTGCTTTGAGCGTTCCTAATGATGCAAATCACTTCAGACGCACCAAATGTATAAAGTAATATTCGTATAGTTTAACCCTGACGACAACATTGGTTGAAATTAACTTGTGGTTGTTTTATGGAGAAAATAAGGTTCCAATTCTCGCAGGAAAATTACCTTAGATGAATTTCACTATTCTTAATAGGTAGCTTTTGGTCATATCGCACCTACATTTTCTACATGTCCACACATTCCTGGCTTTCTAATGTTTAGTTTTGAGCTTTCCTGATGAAGTCAAAAGCAGAAATAGCTTTGAACGAATGAAATTCATAGTGCTATTTGCATTTGTTTATGAATTTAAATATCAATTTGGAAAGAATATTACGGTTTAAGTTGTGTTAGGTACTTTGCTTTTATAGAAAAGACGTGCGTTTGATTTCAAAGCATATTGATGAAATGACTGGTTGCGCACAATGCAACATTACGTGTACAAAGGCGTTACGTAAGCGGTATGTAACGTTAGTGACGTTAGATATATTGTTTATGAATTGCAGCAAATCATTGACAATGGGGGGCGCCGAGAAGTTGTAATTATTCAAAAAGTTTAATTAGTTAACGAAATGTTTATTGATAATTAGCCATATGATAATTAACCATTTAAAGTCCATGTTATAAATATAAATCATAAGACTGTCTAATCACTATCATGATCGTTATCAAAATTATGGCGCACTAGATACAATCTATATTTTAATCACTATCACCAACTTTGCTCGTACAGTAATATTACTTGATATGCCTAATGAATCAGATTTCCAAGATGATTGTTGTAATATTGTTCTCTTTGATACACTGTCTGTCCAATTTTATGCAATCTTGAAACGAAATTGTATTTTGATCTACGTTCCATAGCAGTCCGATTATTTTACAGATTTGTCTTTATCAAAGGAATTCTCCGCTGCTGCAACTTGGGTAATATGGCATTGTTCGATTTCCAAGACTCCAAGTTAAATCCTCCTTTGAATAATAATTTCTTGATTCTCTGTAGAAGGTCAACATTTGGAAATCCGACAAAACATTGTCTACGTTTAATCTTTCTTCAACATTTCTGCAGTTACCGACACATAATTATTAAAATGTTTTAATAGGTTAGCATTCGAAATGAACTCAGAACATGTTATACCAAATAAGAATATTATGAAACGACATTTTATTAGCTGGCTTGCTGAGTCGTCATGTTTACTTAGCCAACAGAATTTCGCAATTTCTCGATCCTTTTCGTCAAGCTCAATTTGAAGGAAAGCTTTCTCATTGCCTGTCGTTGCCTCACATTGGTGTTGTGCTATTATCCCAATTAACTCAGTTATGTGTGGTAGGACGGACACTAGGCTATCATTTAAACTAGCTTTGTCTGATGTTTAGCAGAAGCTGCAATTAATCCTACAAACTGCCAATTGGGGTATTAGGTGAGTCTTCCATGACAGCATGGTTAGGACTGTAGTGTAATTTCTCACCTGCATTTTTATCCTGAATTTTCTCCACATACCGTCGTATTTCATGGCCAGCTATAATGTCTCCATAGACTGTCACCATTTCCAGTTCCGTGCTCAATTCGTTTATCATGTTAGACGTATGGCGTTTTGTGATGTTGTAATTACTAGGCAAATCCGAGTGTTCCTCCTTACAAGGAGGGTTTGCAATATATCGGTTGTCTTTCCTTTCAGTGCTGCCTGATTTACAAGTCTGAAAAAGGTCTCACTAGAGTTCAATGATTCGTCAGATACTTTTCCCCTTAAATCGAGTTTAAAAAAACGTTCGAAATGAACCTCTTTTGAATAGTGTTATATCAGAACGTTTAAAACATGGAAGCTGATGATGTGGGTTCAGTTGAATCTATCATTGGTCCAGAAAGCAGGTATCCGAGTTAGAATTTACTGTGGTCGGGCTTGGTTCAGGGATTACTGTATCTTCTACGATATTCCATTTATAATTAGAACTTATCAAATTGCAATCTAGAATTTATCCATGTCGCTAACAGGGTTTGCTAATTTAAGTCCACTGAGGTATTGAAGTTTAGCAGCATTGTATGTCAAGCTATCATGTAACGGCGCTGCGATAACGGGAACAATTAATACTTCCATCAGTATTTTCCTTCGATTTTGAGTATGTTAATCTTTTTTCGTTCATTGCGTTCATTTCTCTTTGCATATCCAACTGCTGTTAGGCTTATTGTCGAAGTTCCATTTGGTGGTATGAGGTATGATTTGCAGTAATGTGAATTCATTTATTTTTTTGGTTCTTAGTTTTCGTGGATAGAGGAAAAATTGTATTTTCGATCATATTTGATTTCGTGGTTTTACCAAAGTTCACATACAAGCCTATAGAAAATTTGTACTTCGTTGAACATTTGAATTCGGGGTCATTTGTACCCACAAAATCCACGAACATTGGTGTATCATGAATAATAATGAATCCACAGTACTAGATGACGGAAAATTTGATGTATGTGTTATTGGAACATTAGATGAATCACTCACCGTTGGTTGAAATGTGTAAGTTTTGTTTTAAAAAACTATGTCTATGTATCGGCGAATAGCAACTTCCATATTGTAATCGTCGTCTTCAAGGATTTCCTGGTCCATGCCGTCAAGTTATATAAAAGAGGGACGAAAGATACCAGAGGGACAGTCAAACTCATAGATCGAAAACAAACTGACAACGCCATATAATGTGTTCAGTATCTGACTATCCTTTTTCTGAAGAATGTCTCACTTCTTCCCAAAGGTCTCCGATGCTGCATGTATTTCTTGGATACTAATGTCATTTTGCGTAATTTCGTCGTTGGTTAGGTTGATAAACCAGGATACTGCACTTATGTTTCCACCTTGTTTGGCTCTGTATTTCTCCATTAGTCACGGTACCAATATCACGAAGGCTGTTACTAGCACTACACTTTGATTGAAAAGACGTATGTTTCATACAAATTGTATTGATGCTATGACTTGATGCGCACATGGCAACGTAACGTGTACAAATACGTCATGTAAACAATAGGTAACGTTTGTGACGTTAGATACATAGTTAATGAATAGCTACATTTTGTATA